ATGGCTAGAGCTAGCATGGACTAGTAGGCATACATCAGCCCTTGCTCTAAGCAAAAACCATTACAATTATTGAAAGCTATACAAGGTCGATTGTATTACATACGACCAACCCTTTGTAACGAAAATTATTTATATAATTCATAGGGTCCGCTTTTACATTAAAACAGTTTAACTTTCTTCCACCTGCCTCATGAAATGACATTGATAATTTAATAAACATTTAGGTGCACATTTTCATCTTAAACAATCCCACCACACATAATGCATGCGTCGTAAACCTGCTATTAACCCTAGCGCCTAATACACACACCATTTTGCCAAGTTAGTATATCTATTTGAGCAGTTTACTAGTCGTTGGACTAGTCTGCACCCACCTAGCAAGTTGTTGTATGGTAAATGTAATTTACTCTTTACCGATTTAATATGAGTGTCATGTCTATTATCATCAATTGGAATTGTAAAACCATCACTAATTTCTCACACTCTGAAATGATGAAATGATAACCCACTAAAAGCAATAAAAACAAGTCATTTAAATTCCTTTAATTAGCAAGAAATTTAATGCTCCATTATAAAGGCATAGGACTATGCATGTTATATTTATGTAACATATTTATTCATCCAATTGGTTAATAGTAGAAAAATATGACTTTAAGTAAAATATTTTCAGCTTGTCCTTGACCAAAATAAGTCAATTATATCTCCATTATCTATGCAGCATTATTGGCAAACTTTTAGAAATAAAGATGACTTCTTCATGGGAAAGAGAATTCTTCTTCAAGTCACAAAATTGCCTTCATAAATCCTACTAGCTAAGGAAAAAATGTTTTCATGTTGAATCACCAAGCACTGGCAAAAGCTAGACCCATAACCAATTCGATTGCCTATAAAACAAGTGAAATGTCAACACATAAAATTGATCATTAGGACCATTGTATGTAAATTGTAAAACATTAGTGACAAGCATATATGTCTATCGCTTCATAAGCTTTCATTCATTCATAATCATTCAGATTAATACATCATTTTGCTCAATCAGAATTTCGTCCATCTCAATGCCAAACATTGCAATATCGTCTGAAGGAAAACTTGTGGTTGGAAAACAAGTCTCTTGCTAACTCAAACCATAATAAGGCAAATATAAGACACATAAGTCATATTATTATGTACATACAACACAATAAACTTCATGTTGCATGTCTTTTGCATGGCACGTAGGAGACAACAAAATCAGGAGCAACTATCATATAGTAAATCAAATGTGCTCAAACCTGTTGTAGTACCAAATGTAATTAAAACCATTAAAATTAGCAAAAGTTTCACATGATCATATAGAATTATACCACAAATTGCCTCTCTGCACAAGATCGATAATCGATTGTATGGCATCTTTAAGCTGATCTACCAATAAGGGTTGTCGATTCTCAGTTTTTTATATATCTTGAGTGATCTGGTCTGTAGTATTTATGATAAAAAAAATCTGGGTTTGGCATCTCGGATGTCTCATTAATGTGGTTATTTATTTTATGATCGCGACGTTACGTGTAAATAGACATATCTGTTATTGGTTACTAATTGTTGAACCAAAGTAGGAGACGGAACCAGCGCAAGCCACTCGATGTGGTTGATTACATGGTTATGATTGGCATATATATAGAAAAGGAAAATGAAATAGACGTTTTAAATCCGTGTCGATAAAAAATTATCTAAAAACAAGATACTAGTTTTTTTGGGCTAAGAGAAGTTTGTAAGAAATCTAAACAGTAGAGTGTACACTCATCTCCATAACTCCCACAAATCAAACCAGGCCATACACACACACATGATCAGCTCCTTGGACAACAGGAAGTAAATACGGAGACAAAAGTATTATTTTCCATGTCATATATAGCGAATAATTATAGTGTCCTAAGAGCATCTCTAAGAGAGTTGGGATCCAACTTGTTATTTCTATTTTTAGCTAACATGCAAGAAATCTGGCCTCCAACAGACTAGCTAACGCCATTGCCATTCCATTTGACGTGCTATCCCGTGAGAATCAGAAGCCAAATTTGGCTGGCCGGTGTGCCTTGCTATATTGGCGTATGTAACACTGACAGCTAGTACCATGTTTGTGTTGCTCCAAAATTCTATTTCTTTCTCCTCCTTTCATAGAATATGGAGTGTGAGATATGACTAGTCTGTTGGAGTGTGCTGAATTATACAGAGAGATTTTTTATAGAGTGGCTAGCTAAAAGAAGATATAGAATGTGGAATTTAGAATGTTTCTTGGAGATGCTCCTAAACAAATTTAGGTACATGTCAACTACACAACCTATCCATTTAAACTTACTAGCACCAATTTTTTTTTGTGATTGCCTTGAAAATATCTAGACCTTCTGCACACAGCATGCATAAATTTGTAGGAATAAATTATATGCTAGTCATGATTATGAAAACTTAAAAAAAAATCTGTTGGGGCAGTTCACACACTGTCGAACCGAAAATCACATAGACGATGGACGCTTTGGTTGCATGCAATTGATTGCCTTTGCGACAGCCTAATGAATCGTGACCATTTCTCATGTAGATATTTCATCCTGGTCCCCTAGCTAAGCTAAGCAGGGCTCCAATCGGATTCTTGACTCCAAGTCTAATCACCATATTCTTCATCCTCCAAAAGATAAAAAAAATTGCCTGACCACTGTTCAGCTAATGCTGCGATAATTCCTAAAGAACTTAGTCTTTATTATTGCATGCAAGAAATTAATCATATTCACTCTCATCAGGTCTTATCTTGAAGCAAGCACTTTTTTTTTAACAAAGGGTGGGAAAAAGGGAGCTGAATGTATACAATACCAAAAGTGTGCCTATTTTCTTCTGCTACAAAATTCTCCAAACCACACACCACCAGAAAATTTTAGTTAAACAAGGTAAAGCGAGATGAAAAGCGTGGGCATGATTGTAAATAAATTACTCTACATGATCTATGGAGTCTGTCTAGTGAGGAGAGAGAGAGAGGAGGAGGAGGGGTCATCACTCATCAGTGGCCAGCAAGAGAAGAGAATGGCCACAAAACATGGTGGGGGCAAAACAGTCCATTCACAGGACCACCCCCATGGCCATGGGCATCAGCCATGAGCCATCAGTCCTCCATCTCCATGCATCGCCACCCCAGTACGGCCCACCACAACTCCCACCCCCACCCCACCGCAGCAGCTTTTAAAGATAAACCAAATCCGCTGCCCTTGCCCTGCATCGCCGTTCGCAGCAACTGCTGCAACTTGCTCACAGTCACAGGCACAGCTGATGAGCAGCGGCCAAAACAGAAGGCGCGATTTGATCGCTTCCTCCTCCACTACCACTAGCTAGCCTGCCGCCTGCCGCCTGCCGCCGACCGCCGTGCGAGCTCCGGCCTTGTGGAGCAGCTCGTGCAGCGTTGCACGGCCGTGCCGGAGGCAGAGAAGGAAAGGTGAGCTGCCGGTCGTGTGTTCTGTCCGTCCTCCTTTTTTTTTTCTTTCCCCTCGCAGTTTTGCAAAGACAACAACTTCAGAACTTGGAATTCGTTTCTGCGTCGAGGAAGCTTTTTCTCAAATCTGCATCGCATTCTCACGCCGCCCCCCCCCAATGTTCCTCTTTTTAAAAAAAATGTATAAATCCCTGGGATCGGCTACTGTTTTTTTCCCCTTCTGGGAGTCGGTTTGGAATGTCTATGTTTGTCTATGAATGATGTTGGTTTGGTCATTTCCTCGTCCTGAAAAGCTGCCTCTTCTTCTGCCTTTTGTCCAGTTCCCTCTCTGAAAAAAATCGCAGTTTTCATCTCTGCTCCGCTCCGTTCCAAGAAAGCCCCGTTTCCCTCTTGCTCCGCAAATCCTCCCGGATCTCCTTGGCGCCGCCGGCGCAGGTAGGTCGCGCCATTGCCGTCACCCCCATCCCCCATCCAGGTTCTTGGGGATCACTTCGTTCTCTTGCGTGAAAGACGATCTTTTTGGGACTTAATTGCCACGAATTCTTCCAGGTCGGAAATGATTTCCGAGAGTTGTGATTTCACAAGATCGGCTGCGCTCTCAGGCTGGATGGCCTTACGCACCTTGCGCACTCAGGTTAACTGAAAATAAATTGCAAATTTCTGGGAGCCACACGTGTTTTTTCCGTTTCTTCAACGGCGAGGAGGCTAGGCTGGACATCAAGTGTGTATGTCGGGATGAGTAGTGGAGATCAACCCACTGGAAAATTTTCTCTGTCAATTTCCTTGTGCGCATTCCAAACCCGTTGTTGTTGTTTACGGGTTTCTTTTTTTTTTTCAAAGAGTGTCCAGAACCAGTGGTCTGTGGATTGGAATTCTTTAGTCACCGTTTGACTGCCTACATGTGCTAGATCCTAAAACAATACAACAATTTCCCTGTTGCAGCGCGTTTCGCCATCCATCCATTCATTCATGTGATTGCTCGCAAAATTAACGAGCTAAAGATTCCTCTCCTCACTGGTGCTTGTTCCCATGGTCTCCCAACATCGAGTCAGCCAATTATTCCCGCTGTCCCCTCACCACAAGATACTGCCCTTGTGCTCTGCAGGTGCTGCCGCCCCCCCTGCCGCCTGCGTCCTGTGACTGAGATCCATCCAGCTCGGAGGAGAAGGAAGAGGAGGAGGAGCTCCTGGTCCTGGCTTCTAGACGTTGTGACCCAGATCTTGATGCAGCTGCCCAACTAGTTTACTCATCTAGAGGAGGGGTTGGGTTCTTGACCCGATTTGGTGGGGGCTTTGCCACTGGGATAGGGGGACAGTTCGGCGTGCTGGATCTTTATCGCCAGTTGTTGGTCCTGTCCTTTCCGTTGGGCTGGGAAGCATTCACATGCCGGTGGCTGCCGGTTTGGTACTTTCTTGACGGATTGGTTAAGCGCTGTCTGTGGGGTTGTTGTGCTGCTCCTCCTTTCATCTCATTTTGTGGTGATTGGTGGGGGAGGAGGAAGAGCTAGGAGGATCTTCTCTCTTGTTTTTGGGTCATTTCTCGGAGTGGCACAATGAAGTATATGAAGCTTGGATCAAAGCCGGATGTCTTTCAGACAGAGGGCAGCAATATCAGGTTAGTTGATTTGTTCCTGCCTTAGCATCACATTTCTTTCAGATTATTACAGATACATACATCTTCTTTTTTTACTGGTCATCCTAGACTTTGTTCTCATTGATTTACTCTGCTGATCATGTTGTGCTGAATTTATCTTGATGAATGTTCTAGAGATTCTGGGATAGAAATTTCAAGATCCATTTTACTTGATAGGAAATAGGTCTCAGCAGTTCTAATTCAATTTTCTTAACATATTTGTGTCTTAATATGCATCTTGTCTGCTTTTTGGCCAAGATTTAGTGGATCTGCTTTTTTACTATTCGTTTAAAAGAAAATTTAAATCAATGGAGTTGCTCAAGGGGCCAATCATACTGGTAAACTGTATCAGCTGGAAAGAGGCTTAGTTCTTTAGTTTTTTCTGTGCTCTGTTTCTTAAATGGGAAGGAAAGGAAGTGACGATATCCATAGGGGCTTTTGCTTTGCTTTCTATTTGTTTGAGTTTAGAATTTAGCATGGAACATCCAATAATTTTGAAGTGTGTAAAATTAGTGTTATGAATTAGAACAACACTAAAATTAAAATTAAGACTAGTTCCATCTTCACAGAGCTATATGACTGACAGCTGTGTTTTATATGTGGCTTGTGTGTTAGTTATTAAGGTGTGGATTACCCTCTCATTTAACAACCAACATGAAACTCATGGTCTGGAATACTAGGAGGCGCATCTGATGATGACATGCAGATGGCTAACTGTATAACTGATCTTGTTTATACGCTAAGTTGTCCTTGATTCTTTTCAGTGGCATATGTTCTTAAAGCTCTTATGTACTTTGGAGGCCTGTGACGATTTAACCATAGGAGTTCTTTTCTCTAGTTTGCTTTGTTTTTTACCTTTTTGGATGAGTGGATTGGTTGGTGGCATTGTGGTCCATCAAGTAAATTTAATTCCTGGAGCTCAATAATTTCTCTTGACCTTTGATAGAACTAAGTTTTTAATCATCTATATGTTGGACCACATGTCAATTCAAATTAGTTATACCTGTCATACACGCTGCTGGTATATCTGAAGTTGCTTTTGCCTTTTTCTAGTTTTGCTTATGGTACTTGGGCAAAAGGCTAATGTCCTGTCACTGTTATCTCACCTTTAGCTGATTCGCTGAGCGATGATTTTGTCTTGTTGCGTCATTTCAGCTCTGCATTATTGCAACATTTGCAGTATAAGGATTTATCTAACAATCATTGCATCCACATAACAATCCTTTTTATCCTAACATATCTTACCATGATTTTAGATAAATGATACATGTGTACTTACTATGTTGCCTCACATTGGGTAATTCTGCTTATCATGCAATATCTTCACTTATTTGCTCCCATTGCCTTTCCTCTACTTGCATCACTTAGCTTCAATGCTAATGTTTTGCAATCATGCTTTTCAGGTTTGTTGCGACAGAGCTGGCAACAGACATTGTTATATCCATTGGGGATGTCAAGTTTTATCTTCACAAGGTATTGACTTCTTTATATTCCTCACATTATTAGCCTCAGCATGCATTGAACAAGAGTACCCCTTATTGTTGTAGAGCTATATTTTGTGCCACCTGAAAATCTTAGGTGTGGTTATGAGTACCATTGGCACATTACATCCTACTCCTTTTACTTGCTCAGAAAGAAAAACATCCTACTCCCTTTGTCTGCATATTCTGCCAATTGTGTCTGCGTTCTGACTAGATGCATTTGCTTAGCAGCTGGTTCATATCTAGTGCAGCATAGTTCTGTGTCAAACAACTAGTTTACATGCTTTTTTATGTACAAAGGGAAAATAATCACATACCCTGCATTTTTTTTTCAGTTCCCTCTTCTATCAAAGAGTTCACGCCTACAAAGGTTAGTTGCTTCAAGCAATGAGGAGAAAAATGATGAAGTGGATATCTCTGACATCCCTGGTGGACCTTCAGCATTTGAAATATGTGCTAAGTTCTGCTATGGCATGATTGTAACACTCAATGCATATAATGTCCTCGCTGCCCGCTGTGCAGCTGAGTACCTAGAAATGTTTGAGACCATTGACAAAGGAAACCTCATATACAAGATTGATGTGTTTCTGACATCAAGCGTATTTCGCACCTGGAAGGACTCGATCATAGTTTTACAGACCACAAAGTCACTGCTACCTTGGTGTGAAAATTTGAAGGTAATCAACCACTGCATTGACTCTATCGTGTTGAAGGCGTCAATTGATCCATCAGAGGTTGAATGGTCATACACTTACAACAGAAAGAAACTCCCATCTGAGAATGGTATTGATTCACATTGGAATGGTGTCAGGAAGCAACCTATGGTCCCTAGTGACTGGTGGGTTGAGGACCTTTGTGAGCTTGAAGTGGATTTGTACAAGCGGGTGATCATGACCATCAAGGCAAAGGGAAGCACACCAGCTGTTGTCATCGGAGAAGCATTGAGGGCCTACGCATACCGACGCCTGCTTGGCTCCCTTGAAGATGCTGTGAGCAATGGAGTTGATTGCACAAAACGTCGTGCAGCTCTTGATGCTATTATATTTCTCTTGCCCGCTGAGGAAGGCTCAGTGTCATGTGGTTTTCTTCTTAAGCTGCTAAGAGCTGCATGTTTGCTGGAATCTGGGGAGTCCCATCGCATTAACTTGATCAAGAGAATAGGCACACAATTGGATGGTGCTTCAGTTTCAGACCTTCTTATACCACCAAATACTGATGAAAACAATATATACAGCATAGACCTGATCATGGCAATAGTGGAGGAATTCATGTTACAGAATAGTGATAGTGTTAAGGAAAAGATTCAAGATGATGAAGAAATCGTGGAGATTGAGAATGCGACATCTGTTTCCAGCACGTCAAAACTGGCAGTTGCAAAGCTGATCGATGGATATCTTGCTGAGATTGCCAAAGATCCCAACCTTCCTCTTCCAAAGTTGATCGCACTTGCTGAAATGGTGTCTTCTCTACCCCGGCCATCACATGACGGGCTCTATCGTGCCATTGACATGTATCTGAAGGTATCTCTTTGTGTTTCCACCAAGTGCTCCCATTGTAGGGAGTTTGAATACTTAACACTGATTTCCATGCTTACAGGAGCACCCCAGCCTATCAAAGAGCGAAAAGAAGAAATTATGTGGACTGATGGACTGCAAGCAGCTGTCACAGGATGCGTGCATGCACGCCGTGCAGAATGAGCGTCTCCCCTTACGCGTGGTTGTGCAAGTTCTCTTCTTCGAGCAAGTCCGGGCATCAATTGCTTCTGCAAGGAGCGACCCTTCATCTGAGCTCCCATCTGCTGTTCGCTCGCTTCTTCCCAGAGAGAATGGCAACTCTATTGGCAGCTCCAGGTCAGCTGCGACAACGACAACGGAGGAGGAATGTGGGGTCCCGACATCGAGTGACATCAACTCTTTGAGGTCAATGAGGCTCGCCAACAACAGCGGTGGAAGCGAGAGGAGCAGTGGCAGCAGTGACATCAACAAGAACAGCGATGACAAGAGCGCCGCAGGGAAAGCAAAGGGGATGCTGATGCCGAAGAAGATACTGAGCAAGCTCTGGTCTGGGAAAACAAATGCCGGTGAGAACAGCAGCTCAGACACGTCGGAGAGCCCTGGGTCCGTGAACCCAGAGGAGGCGAAGTCCACGCAGTCACGGATCACAAGGCGCTCAGTATCCTAGTCGCAGGGGGTTAATGGGGTCACAGCTTAGTTTTGTTCTTGCTCTTGATTTGCCTTCACTAGAGAGTAGTAGCAATCTCGAAATGTGGAGTACTACTACTACTGGCCTCACTTATTCATGTCGCCAATGATTTTTTTTTTTTTTTTTTTGCATGGGATTGCTTGTAGCTGGAGTAGGTTTGGTCATTGGTGATGTTTTCAGCGAAGCTCCATGGGATATTTATGTGGCCTTTTTTCATGGTAGGGATACAAAGAAAGTACAGGTCGTATAATTGATGTATTTTTGCAGGCAAAGTCATAGTGTTTTAGTTTGTTTCTTACTACATAACATCCGTTAGACTTATACATAGCATATATTCGAGTGAAATGGTCTTAAAGTGTTGAGGCTGATCAGAAAACATCGGCAGCTCATGTTTTTAATACGAACAGTAGTTATGATGGAGTACATAGCATATATTCGAGTGAAATGGTCTTAAAGTGTTGAGGCTGATCAGAAAACATCGGCTGCTCATGTTTTTAATACGAACAGTAGTTATGAGCTGTTTTCGGCAGTTCGGCTACACGTAGGAATTTGTGAGAAGATACGAGCTACAGTCGGGTTGAAAATAGAGAGAAGATGCATTATTATGTGATTGATTTTGTTACAGTGCGATACTTGGCCTAGCTCGCCATATTCATGACTCTGCGCCTCTCATGGGCAGGTCCACTGGAGCCGCCACAAACCAAAACATCACCACTAACTCAAATTAAAAGACTGACATGATATGTCTGGGTTTTCTATCTTATACGAGGGTTGTCTATCTTATATGTTGTGCTCGTAACTCTCGGCTTCTATTATTCTCAACAACAATAACAAAGCCTTTAAGTCCAAAACAAGTTGGAGTAGGCTAGAGTTGAAACCCAGCAGAAACAATCAAGGGTTCAGGCACGTGAATAACTGATTTCCAAGCACTCCTATCTAAGGCTAAGTCTTTAGATATATTCCATCATTTTAAGTCTCATTTTATTGCCTCTAACCAAGTCAACTTCGGTCTTTCTCTGCCTCTCTTCAAGTTACTATTCTGACTTGGGATTCCACTACGCACTGGTGCCTCTGGAGGTCTCCGTTGGATATGTCCAAACCATCTCAACCGTTGTTGGACAAGCTTTTCTTCAATTGGTGCTACCCCTAATCTATCACGTATATCATCGTTCTGAACTCGATCCCTTCTTGTATGACCGCAAATCCAACGCAACATACGCATTTCCGCGACACTTATCTGTTGAACATGTTGTCTTTTCGTAGGCCAACATTCTGCACCATACAACATAGCAGGTCTAATCGTTGTCCTATAAAACTTACCTTTTAGCTTCTGTGGTACCCTTTTATCACATAGGACACCAGATACTTGACGCCACTTCATCCACCTTGCTTTGATTCCATGGCTAACATCTTCATCAATATCCCCGTCTCTCTGTAGTATTGATCCTAAATATCGAAAGGTATCATTCCTAGGCACTACTTGACCTTCCAAACTAATATCTTCCTCCTCCTGAGTAGTAGTGCCGAAGTCACATCTTATATACTCAGTTTTAGTTCTACTGGGTCCAAAACCTTTGGACTCCAAAGTCTCCCGCTATAACTTCAGTTTCTGATTCACTCCTGTCCGACTTTCATCAACTAGCACTACATCGTCCGTGAAAAGCATACACCAAGGGATGTCCCCTTGTATGTCCCTTGTGACCTCATCCATCACTAAGGCAAACAGATAAGGGCTCAAAGTTGACCCTTGATGTAGTCCTATCCTAATCGGAAAGTCATCTGTGTCTCCATCACTTGTTCGAACACTAGTCACAACATTGTTGTACATGTCCTTAATGAGCCCGACGTACTTCGTTGGGACTTTATGTTTGTCCAAAGCCCACCACATAACATTCCTTGGTATTTTATCATAAGCCTTCTCCAAGTCAATAAAAACCATGTGTAGGTCCTTCTTCTTCTCCCTATACCGCTCCATAACTTGTCTTATTAAGAAAATGGCTTCCATGGTTGACCTTCCGGGCATGAAACCAAATTGTTTCATAGAGACCTGTGTTATTGCTCTCAAGCGATGCTCGATAACTCTCTCTCATAGCTTCATAGTATGGCTCATCAACTTAATTCTCCGGTAATTAGTACAACTTTAAATATTCCCTTTATTCTTGTAGATCGGTACCAATATACTTCTCCTCCACTCGTCAGGCATCTTGTTTAATCGAAAAATATGGTTAAACAGCTTGGTTAGCCATACTATAGCTATGTCCCCAAGGCATCTCCATACCTCGATTGGGATACCATCCAGTCCCATCGCCTTACCTCCTTTCATCCTTTTCAACGCCTCTCTGACCTCATATTCTTAGATTCTCCGCACAAAGCATCTATTGATATCATCAAAAGAGTCATCCAACTGAAAAGTTGTGTCCGTATTTTCACCATTGAACAATTTATCAAAATACTCTTGCCATCGATGTCGGATCTCATCCTCCTTCACCAAGAGATGCTCATTTTCATCCCTAATGCACTTAACTTGGTTGAAGTCCCTTGTCTTTCTCTCACAAACCCTAGCCATCCTATAAATGTCCTCTCCTTCCTTCGTACTCAAATGTTGGTAAAGATCCTCGTACGCTCTACCATTTGCCACACTTACAGCTCGCTTTGCGGTCTTCTTTGAAACTTTATACTTCTGAAAGCTCTAGTTTGGTTTTGGTGGATTGATGAAACCCTAAGTGCTAACCTAGTTTATCAAAGTGATCATGAGATAGGTAGCACATTCCAAGTGGTGAAGCAAATAAAGATCATGACATGATGATGGCGATGCCATGGTGATGATCAAGTGCTTGGATTTGAAAAAAAGAAAGAGAAAAACAAAAGGCTCAAGGCAAAGGTATAAGCGGTAGGAGCCATTTTTATTTTGGTGATCGAGACACTTAGTGAGTGTGATCACATTTAGGATCGATAGCCGTACTATTAAGAGGGGTGAAACTCGTATCGAAATGCGGTTATCAAAGTGCCATTAGATGCTCTAACTCATTGCATATGCATTTAGGATCTAGTGGAGTGCTAACACCCTTGAAAATGTTTGTGAAAAATATGCTAACACACATGTGCACAAGGTGATACACTTAGTGGTTGGCACATTTGAGCAAGGGTAAGAAACTTCACCGGCGGAGTGTCCGCCCGTAGAGTGCGGACAGTCCGACGGTGCCACCAGCGCCCTATATAGAAAAGACATGATTTCACAGAGTGACCGGACGCTGGATGAGTGTGTCCGATCCTGCTGGCATGGCAGTGCACAGAGGAGACTGTGTGTGACCGGATGCTGGGTGAGTCCGATCAAGCATGACCGGACGTGTCCGTCGTGAGTGGAGGCTTACTAGAAATGACCGGACGCTGGAGTCCTGCGTTCGGTCATGATCTAACTGACGCGTCTGGTCGTAGCTGGAACCTTACTGGAAGTGACCGGACGCTGGGGTCCTGCGTCCGGTCATGGCACTGTGTTGCGTCCGGTCATCACTTGACCATTGGGATCGGGCACTCAGTATTTGAAGAGGGGGATGATGTGGCAGCCATCCGTTGATCGGACGCTGGCAGGGTGCGTCCGGTCGATTTAACCGGAGCGTTCGGTCACCCCGAGTTGTGCCCAGTGAAGGGGTACAACAACTCTTTTTCATGGAGGCTTCTATTTAAGCCCCATGGCCGGCTCTAGCTCACTCTCTTGGCCATTTACATTGACATAGCAACCTTATGAGCTTAGCCAAAGCCCTCCCACTCATCTCTATCATAGATTCAACATCTTTGTGAGATTGGGAGAGAATCCAAGTGCATTGCGTGAGTGTTTGCATCTAGAGGCACTTGGTGTTCGTGTTTCGCTGCGGGATTCGCTTGTTACTCTTGGTGGTTGCCGCCACCTAGATGGCTTGGAGCAGCGAGGATCGTCGAGCGGAGGTTGGTGATTGTCTTCGGCTCCGATCATGGTGATTGTGAGGGGTTCTTGACCTTTCCCTAGTGGAGAGCCAAAAGGTACTCTAGTAAATTGCTCGTGGCTTGTGTGATCCTCATCTTGTGTTGGTTGTGCAGCACCCTATTGAGGGTTTGGCATGTGATGCTAATTAGCACGTGAACCTACAAGTGAGTGAATCACCACAACGAGGACTAGCTTGCCAGGAAAGCAAGTGAACCTCGGTAAAAAATCATTGTGTCATCATTTGATTTCGAGGTGATTGGTCTTCATTGGTATTCTTTTTTGTGATTGATTGGTTCACTCCTCGACTCGGCGGTATAACCATCTTGCTCACTCTCTTTATATTACCACAAACTAGTTATCAAGCTTTTTAGTGTAGCTAGTTGTGAGAGCTTGTTAGTTTGGTTAGTGCGGCTCTTTAGTTAGCCTTTGAGAGCACACTAACTTAGTATAGTGACATAGCCATTGTGTGGTTAGAAACTATAGAAACTAGAATTGTGGTAGGTGACTTGCATTTTTAGTAGGCTAGCGCAACACTTGCTTCGCCTCATAATTGTCTAACCGGTTTGCTAAGTGTTGTTGTAGAAATTTTTAATAGGCTATTCACCCCCCTCTAGCCATTAGGACCTTTCAACTTCTCTATGTTGTCCACACTCCTGTCATGGTACAAGCATCTATAGCATTCTTTCTTTTCCTTAATAGCTCTTTGGACTTCCTCGTTCCATCACCAAGTATCTTTAGCCTCGCCTCCACTTCCTTTGGTTACTCCACACACCTCTGAGGCCACCTTCCGAATGTTGGTTGCCATCTTCTCCCACATGTTGTTTATGTTCTCTTCTTTCTTCCAAGAGCCCTCTTTGATAACCCTTTCTCTGAATACCTCTGACGTCTCCTCTTTCAGTTTCCACCACTTTGTTCTTTCAATCTTAGCTTGTTTATCCCTATGGGCACGCACCTAAAAACAAAAGTCTTCCACCAAAAGCTTATGTTGAGAAACAACACACTCCCCTGGTATCATCTT